GGTCCTTGCGCTGGGCGGTAGATTGGCGCCTCCGCATCGAACGCGCCAGGCATGGGATGTCGAGGAGTGCCCGCGTCAGAATTGATAGGCTGCGGATCGACATACTGCAGTGGTAGAGAGCTACCACTTGTACTGCTTCTGTTATCAGCAGTGGGTAGCGGTCGGCCAGTGTCATCGATGTACACGCTTTGCTGCGGTTGAACAGGCTCTGATGTATCAAATGCTGCGCCAGAAGCACCGGCAGTCAGTCCAGCAGCAATAGGTCCACTCAATGAGCCCTGAGAGCCGGTGGGCCGCCATGATTGAGGAGATGATGAGCGTCTGATCTTTCGACCATTCTTGTCCTTGCCGCCCCATCGCCAACCCCAAGCACCGAGTCCGCCATCATTGGAGGAAGCAACGCTCTCTAGGCTTTGGCGAGAGGATAAACGTCGATCACCATAATCGCCAAAAGCAAGCCCACCATCCACACTTGACGCATCATCGACATCGGATTGAAGCTCGTCCTCCCAGTCTGGATCAGAGGACCCAGGCGAGCCATGCCGATGACCGGGCACATGCGTGCGAACCTGTCGTTTGGCGCCAAGTTCTGGTCTGCTGCCACGTTTGGAAATCCTGTGTCCTTTCTGTGCGGCAGCGAGAGCAGCAGCTGTGGCACCAATGCCAGCAACTGTCGCAGCAAGATGATCGTCGCTCTTCCTACGCCCAGCTCGACCTTTCGAGGAGCGAGTAGAAGACTTGCGACGCAGACTGGCCCTGCTACCTTTTCGGCTGAGGTAAGGATCGCCGAATGCCAGTTCGGAGTTCGAAGATGATGAAGATCCGTTGCTGAATGTAAAGAAACCACGATTCTTCTTCTTCTCGTGTGAGCCTCGTCGCTGTCTGCTAGAGGGCGAGAAAAAGTTTCCAAAGATTCCACCTTGGTCTTTGGGACTGCCTGAACGATCATACCGGGTTGGAGAGTATGCAGAAGATCTCCGTCTTCTCTCACGAGAGCTTGACCTTGACCTGCGACCCGCGTGAGCTGCCAACCCAGCAGCACCCAAAGCGGCGCCGGCAGCGGCAGCAGTACCCAGTCCAAAGCCAACAGACGACTTGCGAGTAGCAGAACGTGATCGCGAACGTGATCTCACAAGGCGTCTCCTTTCTACTGTGCCATCCTTCTTGCGGACTGTGACATATTCGCCTTCAGGCCTTAGCACGCCATGGGTAGATTGCCGCCTCTGCTCTCTTGAGCTACTGCGGCTTCGTCTCCGCAGCGCCGAGCTCTCTCGGTGACCAGATTTGACAGAATAAGTGTCGTCGAAGTTCTTGCGATCGTGGAAAAGGGCCGCCGATGCAGTTGCGGCTCCAGCAGCAGCCAGTCCAGCTCCCATCATGCCAATCCCAGAAGCTCGCTCATCTCGTCTCCTCTTGCTTGATTCGGAAGCATAATATCTGTTGTCCTTGTCGATGCGCTCCGAACTTCGCTTGCGGCCCAGACGATCGTAAGATGCCCTTCGTCGCAGCGACTCGAAGGAGTCCTTCCGCTTGTGATAATGATGAACTCGTGGGGCGTCCCAAGCAGAAGTCCTGGGATCGAAACAATGTTTGCAGACGCCGATGTACTCGGTGTACATCTCCATCTTGGCAGTGTCCTCTGGACTTGCAATGAGATTGAGAATGCCATCTTTCAGCCTGGTCATAGGACCCTTGTGCTCGTGAAAATGATGCTGCTGCTGCATCATGCCGCCGCTGCCTCCTGGTGGACCATAATATCCTCCACCAGCGAAGCCGGGCGGTTGCGGGGATCGCGGTGGTCCGTGTCCGAAGTCTCCGGATCCAAAGTTCGCCGTGTTCGAATCGTGCCGGCTGTGTTGGTGTTGATTTGCAGCGTAACCAGCAGCCGCTGCGCCGGCACCTGCTGCTGCGTAAAGTGGTACGTTAGCGTTGGTAGATTGCCTACCTGAATATGTGCCTGTTGTGTTAAAATCTGCGTGTGTGCCGTACGCGCTGGTAGCTCCTGCTTGAGAGTCGCTGCCACTGGCGTTCATGCTCGTCGAGGTCGCGTAGACGCCGGTCGTGCCTGCCTGAGTTGTGCTTCCGTATGGATTGGTTGGCGGGGGTGGAGCAGCGTAATACGTGCTGGCGTCTGCGCTGTGCCGGCCCGGTCTGCTCGAGCTGGGTTTGATGGTCGGCGGGTAATCACTGTGGGTGCTTTGGGGGCGGAAAGGTGAAGGTGAAGATGCCGGCTGCTCAGACTGTGAATGCGGATGTGAGGACGACGGCGTTCCCAACGCACTCACACCCGCGGCAGGCGCCAGACCGGCTGCTGCAACCTTTCCGGCCGATGAATTTCGTGATGGCGTGGGCTTCGGGTGCGATGCGCTGGAGGGCGCCGAAGCAGATTGCTTGCTGGGTCGTGATGGCTTGGCAGGCTGTGGGGTTGAGAAGACCGGGCTCACGGTGCCGGTGTAGAAGTCGGCTGCAGCCCCGTTTCCAGTATCGGCGACAGGATGCGCTTCAGCCGATGCAGCGTGCAAGTGAGCGTCGGGGTTGACAAGCATGTTTGGTGTGCTCGCGCGTACGCCCGGCTGGAAGCGTACAGACTCGCCCTGATCGAGATAATATTCGGCCGCGTGTCCAAAGCTCTCTGCTCGATCGAGTCCGGGGTGTTGCATCTCTCCGCTATATCCAGACGCATCTTGGCCTTGGCCTGGAAACTGATTGTTCGGCACAGAAGCTGGCAATGCGCCTGACATGACATAGTCTCCCTCTCCCGCCGCACCCATCACAGCTCCAGCATACTGCCCCGGAAACTGCTCAAAGCTGCCCATGTCTGGGATTGCGCGCGAGCCTTCACGCACCACCTCTGCTTCTGGTCGCCGCGCCTTCTTCTCCTTTTCGGACGTCGAGCTCCGCGTCTTCTTCTTCTGCTCTCGTCGTTCGCGCGAACTGCTGCGCTTGGCCTCCTTCTCCTTCCCGCTACTCTTGTGCCTCTTCTCGCGCTCGTCACTGGAACCGCGCTTCTTCCTGCTCGAGCTCTTCCTGCTCTTGCCATCCTCCTCATCCTCCCATTCCTCGTCGTCATCATTTGGCAGCATGCGCAAAGCACTCTCGGTCAAAGGTCGCGCCTGGGAGTAGCCGTCACCCACGCGCGACGACGGCGCAGTGCCATACATCGAACTCGCTGGCGTGGCATACACACTTCCGCCTGCCGTACTGCTATTCTCATATCTGCTTGATCTCTTGCGATCGCGGTCATCGTCGCGTCTGTTCGCTGACGAGACCACACTCTCATTATCGCCGCGAGTGCTTCGGGAGCTCTTCTTTCGTCTCTCGCCAGACACACTTCCTGCCTCGCTGCGTCCAGCTTCACTCCTGCTCCCACCCTTCTCACTCCGTCCCGTGAAGGCGGCTTTCCACATTGTAGCTTTGTGGGCGAGAGCTTAATTGCTCCCTGGACAGTTTCTGTCGAAGTGATATAGTCGCGCGCGCGATTATTTTCTCAGTCGCACTATCTAGTAGACGCTGGCGCGCATTCGTGGTCGTCGTCGGGTCGTAGCACAGCGTTCGCTAGCTGTGTCTCGTCGTTGTGGTCGCGCAGTAGAGAAATGGATCGCAGTTGTGGCATGTAATTCACTTTCGATGAACAAGACGACCAGCACGAATGCAGGTCATCACCGCCGCTCCCGTCGAAGCTCCCTCATCTCAAAACGCAACTACAATTCGTCCTTCGCGGGCCAGTGTACAGCACACACTGCAGCACATGCAGCTAAAGCTCGGCAAACCAGCCTGTGGAAGCGCAGCAAAAGCGTGCCAAGCGGTGGCAGGGAAACGCAAGATCGAACTCTAAATGCTCGGACCCAAACCTCAGCTGGCTTCGATATGCGTCACCTGGAACAGTCATGAATCATCTCCAAGGCAGCATGAAAATGTACGTGAGCTTCGCAAAATGCCTACAGTGCCTACCATTTGGGCAGCAACGCCGGTGACATGCTTGACGTCGATGGCATCATGGCAGGGAGGTGCGGAGCCCAACGACCTTAATACACCCCTGCTCTGCTCTATCCCGACGACACTGTAAGAAATCGGAGCTGTCACTGTCAGGAGTCACAGAAACAGAGCACGAGCATAATCGAAGACCGCGTCACGCCAGCAGAAAGGTATCGTAACGTTCGAGACATCGATCTGTCGCTGTCAAACGAGATGAAGTCTCCATCCGCCTCAATATCCCGCCCGCCTACAGCTTCACATACTCCTCCGAAATCAAATACCTCCCACAAGCACAAGGAGGCGTAATGCACTTGAAATACCTCCTCCCAGCTTCCGTCAGCTCCGGTTGATGCGCAATGATTTAGGTGAGAAGAATGATCCGAGGATGACTAGATGAACCGCACTTGTAAAGACCGACATGGCGTGACCTGAATTAAGACCAATTGAATGATGGCAAATTCCAGCTTGCCTGCCGGTGCATGGAAAAGGCAAGTGAGGCGGTCCCTGATGGAGCTTGCGACAGCGAGTCCCTAAACACAAAGACTGCAGTAACCTATTATCGCCCTCAACGCGACATAAAACTAGGTACAGGACAAAACCTATTCCTCCCTATCTTCCTCCGTCGCACCCTCTACCAACACCATCACCAACGCCAAAGAAACTCCACGCTAAAGCCATGCCCAGAAATGCATGCAGGACACACTCTATTCTCATTCTCATAATTCATCCAAAACTGAAAAAAAGACATTACTCATAGCGATTCATGCGGTGGTGTCCCTCCTTCCCAAATGCCCAAACCTCCCACCCGCTTCGATGTTCTCCCATTCACTATCGATCTGTGGTTCACTACGAGTCGCCAGAATGCGCTCATACTACGAGCGCCCTGCACCTCGCATGACCATCTGTCCGAGGCTCATCTGTCGGGAATGTCCAGCGCTCTTACGTTTCTGGTCTTGTGGTGGAGGACCCTGTGCTGTTGTGAGCTCCGATGCAAGCATAATCTCATCTCGCACCATCTCAGCATCTTCCTGCTCTTTCTCGACAAACGTCCAATTCTCTTCCGTTAAGTCGTCATCTTCGTCCTCAGTCGGGCCATCCGTGCTGTTCCTCTGAGGATGCTTCTTGATCAAACTCTTTGCGTACTCGAGATCACGATAGATGGCATGGATAGCAGTCTTGACGCCATCCTCGCTGCGGATCTGCTCTCCAATGACCCTAGCTTTGTTGCACATGCGGGCGTCATGTGTGGCGATCCAAAGCGCTTTTCCAAGCTGGTTTGCGGTGACCTTTTTCAAGTGCATGCCCACGCCAAGATCTTCAACACGGTTTGCGAAGAAAAACTGGTCCCCGAAGAAAGGCTTTATGATTGTCGGGACACCAGCTCTCAGTGACGCTCCAGTCGTACCAGCGCCGCCGTGATGAACGACTGCGTCGACTTGTCTGAACAGCCAGTCGTGAGGTGCTGCATCGATCTTGTAGATACAATCCGGAATTTCTGGCTCGGGTGCATACTTATTCCTATCGAAGCGGTCAGACCAGCCTTTGGAGAGGATGCAGCGTAAATCAGCTTTGAGGACGGCATCAACGACCTGCTGCATAAGTTGTCTAGAATCGGACACGGTGACGGAGCCGAAGCCTATGTAGACGAGTTTCTGACCGTCCTCACGAGCCTTCTGAATAAATGCTGCAAGCTCTGTAGGCGGAGTCCAGTCCGTGCCTTCGTCGAGGAACCAATATCCGGTGACTTTGATCCAGTCGCTGAAATCGAGAGGTGGAGTGACCACGCTTGGCGAGAAGTTGTAGAGGAACGGCACCTTGTTCTGCTGCAGTTTGTCATAGCTGGTAGGAGGTAGTCCAAGGGTCTTGCGGCGCCACGGATTGACCTGAAACTGCTGCGTTTGCCAGAAGATATTGTCGAAGAGAGTATAGGTCATGTAGTTGTACGCTCCGCCCATCTTAGAATTTGATACAGCAAACGCGTGCGGATACGTTCTGGTCCTAGTCCAAGGCATACTAAAAGCTCGGAAGTATGGGATTTGCAGCGCTTCCGCGATGTGGATGCCAGCCATAGCCGAGGGACTCTCTATGAGCAGATCAGAGTTCTGGCAGGCATCCCAGGCAGACTGAAGCAGGTCGTCCAGCCAACCCCGGAACTTGGTGTTAACTTCATAGAGAAATGATGGCGTAAACATGCCTAGCTCTACGCAAATCCTCATTAACTCGCCTGGATCTCCTCCGACTTCTGCAAATTCGATGCCATGCCTCTCAATCCAGTCTTTGAAAGTTGCGTGTGTCGCAATGCGCGGCTTATGGCCTTCAGCAAGAAAGCCTTTGCACAATGCAATGTATGGCTGGACGTCGCCACGTGAGCCAATCGTCAGGCATGTGATGCGCAACGACTTTTTCGGCTTCAAGGCGGCCGTAGAAGCAGACGGGTCATCATAGAGGATTGGAGACATCGCCGATCGAAGCTCGTCTGTAAAGTCATGGTCAGCACTGCTTGTCCTGGCATCACGCAACAATTCGTTTTCGGCAGCGGCATCTTCAGCATCTTGTTGCTCCTCCTGAGTCAGCAGCGTAGATTGGGCGGCAGTTTCCAGGGATTCCAGGTTCTTGAGCACGGTCACTACGCAGTCGTCCCGGAGGCCATTTGAAGGGAAGTCGAAGAAAAGCTCTTCGTAACCACGGATGACCAGGACCAGACCTGGATAGCCCCATCGAAAACCCCGCTGTTTCGAGACGTTCAAGATGTCCTTGTATGGAATTATCAGCTTTGTCTTCGTGCCATACCAGAGACTCCGGAAGCAGAAGCGACGGGTGCCCATATAAATCTTTCCGTAGAGTGGAACAGTCTTATGCAGCCAGCAGTAGAAAGTGGATACCAGTTTTTCTGTCGGAGGCAGGCCAAAATGTTCTCGAAAGCGTCGCTCGTGCTCGACAACGTCCAGGCCATCCTCCAGGTCGCGTATACTGTCGTCAGGTGCCATTCCCTCCTCGCTGATGTACTGTCGCTTGCCACCAGCAATTGCGTCTGACCACTTGTCGATGTATGCCTTTGGACTACTGCTAAGGTATGAACCCATGCGCTTACTAGATGAACGAACCATGCCTGCCACAGTCATGCCGTATTGAAGAGGAGTAGAAATTCCGCGAATGAGCTTCGGAGCTGTGGCATCTGAAGGCTTGGGCTTGTCGTCTGCCGCCTCCACTGTTCGCCCAGAGCCAGCACTGTCCGTGCGGTCCAGAGCGGGTCGACGGCCGCCAAGACTTTGCTCTGTGTGCTGTCTTGATGGAGGGTGTAGCCGCACAGGCATAGGCTCTTGGCTGGAAGATCGCGAACAGTCTCGAGACTCTGGCTGTAGATGCTTCCCTGTGCCCAACACTGCGCGCCGAGGCTGAGGCATTCTAAGCGTAGGACCTCGGAACACGTGGTCATCGCTCAGCATTTGGCTTGCCGACATATCCACATCATGCTCCTCATCTTCATGCGAAGAAGAGTCTGGCTGCTCGGAAGATGTCACAAAGCTCTCTGACGATTCTTGTATTGATGGCGATACGGGCGACTTCGAAGCACGGCGAGCACCTTCTTGGCCACTGGAACTTCTGCGTCCAGTGTCGAAGCTCGCGCTCCCAGAGCCGGAACTGCCGCGCCGTAGTTTCGTACTTGCACGGCGATGCGCGCCACTGAGACGCGGACTTGGGCTGTCACCAGCTGACATGGGTGAGAGTGTTGGGCGTACAGGGTCTGGCGGTGACGGCTCGTGTGATCCTTTTACCTGGGACCCAGGCTTTCCCTCTGTCCCATGGAACTCATTTACGCCTTCTTCTTCGAGCATGACCTTCCTGGCAGGGCTGTCTGCACTCAAGATCCTCAAGGCCTCTTCGGCCCTATCTCCAGCGTTGAAGAATGTAAAGAAGTATTCATCGATGGCAAAGGTCTCCTCATTATCGACGACGCGCACTTTGATGGTGCTTGCCATCTCCAGAACATTTGATTTCTCAACATCCAGAATATTGTCCATTGGCAACGAGATCTTGACGGCGTCACCTTCATTGTGGCTTCTGAAGATGACATTCTGAAGCTGCTTCACCCATTCTTTCGCCAGCTCCGGCGTATCGGCTTGATACTGATAGAGCCTCGTTGGTGTTGTGAGTGTGAAGTATGTGGTGTCTGTGCCTTTCTCTTCGGCAAGATCAGCCGAGATAGCGAACCTCAGGTCGACTTGGCCCAGGGGGAAGTAAGGTTCAGCGGAATCTCGGTAGTAGGAAAAATTGTCGGCTTTCAGAACGAACCAATATGGGCGATAGCGATAGCTGTGCTTCCCGAGCTTGCCCAAACGGCCGTGCTTGATGGTAGTATTTGTCTTCTTCTGTAGGTAGGCATAGAAGCAGAGGTGCTTCCTGGTGATGTACATGAAGCCCTGCAGGAGCACATTCTGCAGGTACCAGCACGGAAATTCCGCCACCACTTCTTCCGGTGCGTCGAAGCGGAAGATGTCTGCAATGACTTGCGGCAATGGTCTCTGCTCCTCCTTCCTTTTCTTGCCATCTGTGGACCTCCTGCCGTCCCTGCGATTTCTGCCACTCGACGATGATGCCATCGATGCTTGCATCTCAGCTTTGCGCATGGCCTCTAATTTGCGATCCAATACGGGTGCTTCGCTGCGAAGTGCGTGGGTGTGTGCGTGTGCGTGCGTGTGCGTGTGCGCCTGTTCTATGCCAGTCTCAGTCTCAGCATGCTCTTCACCTCGAGGCGGCAAGAACTGGCTCTGCGTCATAGGATCATGGCCTTGGCCTTGCGAATCTGAACGCTCTCGCATCGGCTTCAGGAAAGATCTCGCAAGCTTGAATTCTGAAGATTTCCTGCCATCTTTCCACCCCGAAATGTCCTCAGCCTTCTTGGCCGACTTCTGAGGCTCTGATCTCGCCTTCATCTTCTGTGCATCCTTCTCTTTGCGCCGCTTGGGTGCGTCCATGCTCTTTCTCCTCGTGCTGCTGTGCTCATCGCTGTCACTTTCGCTGTCTGGCTGGAAGCTGGTCTGGAAGTCTGGTTTTGATCGTGTTGCGGCGATTATGCCATACATGGACTGCTGTGCGAATATGGGTCGATTGTCGTCATCCTCATTCACGCCTGTGCCATCATCTACGTCTTTTTCATCGTCGTCGTTCTTGAATCTATCCGGCACATCCATGCTCGTAATACTTCCATCACGACTTCTCACTCGCGCCGTCTTCCGTATTGTCGATTTCGACGACTTCGCCTGGCCCGTCCGTCGCAGGGCCGGCGTTGACGCTGACGCTGAAGCCATGGCAAGTGAAGCCCTCGTCAACGCCTTTGCGCAAGTGAAGCACACGTCGATTCGAATTCGAGTTACGTGAGCTGTGGTCACGCGTTGTTAGTGTCTCGCATGCGCCGAGATCACTTTTCACTTCCGCAATCGTCTAGTCTATCGCACGCAATTGCCGATGAGCTTGACTGACAGGCAGTTGCTTTGCGTACCTATCGAATAATAGCAGCGCGTGCAAGCTCGAGGTTTGCCTACAGTCGCCTATGCCAACGCGCGCATCTCAACGGGTGCTGTGCATGAGAGCTACATCGCGGTGCACCATCTTGCAGACCGCGGCAGTATCGTTGCCGAGTAGCGGTCAAATGAGGTGAAGAATAATTTAGAGTGATGGTCTGACCTCACCGCTTGGATGTTTGAGTTCTTTGGCAAATGGCGCAGCAGTGGGAGGCACGAACAATGACGGCTCCCTGGATTTTCTTCGGCGTTAAGCGTTGCATGTGATCTCACGCGTCTCACCACCACGCTTAGGGTGAGCACGCTACGGCCATATACCAAGGTACATGTACAATCAGGCGCGGGCTACGCTAGACTGATAAGCAATGCACATAGTGCTGTGTGTCACGCGATCGGGCGAGGAAATAGTGGAAGAGACGGCAAACAAGTGATCAATTCACAATCTTCCCAATGAAGTTGGCCGTGTCGTCGCGCCTGGTCTGCAGGTACGACTGGCCTGATCCTCCAGCTGTCTGAGCTCGATCTCAGCACGTGCCCCTGCAAGATCTGAAAGATGGGACTGCATGTACCTGTTCTGGGGTAATGGTATACAGAGTGTATGTGATACGCTATGAAAAGCCGTTTACCGCACATTAGGTGCTGTTAGCCAGTAGTTACAATCTCGGTTGACCACGCCGTTCCATGCTATGCACGATTCTGCTCGCGGTGTTGCTCCTCCACTGCAGCCATGTGCTGACTATCATCATTCCATCGTACGTTATTCATCGTCTTCCTTACTTGGCCTTGGCAAGACCGACGGAGTTGCTGCCCAAGTCGTAGACGGAGTACCATTTTCTGAGGAAAGCGTCTCCGAGGATAGCGAGAGGACCCGCTGGCTCTGGAATGTCAAAACCCATGAAGGCGCTGATGCAGCTACCCTGGACCTCAAGGATGTAATCGTAAGAGTCGATGGTGAAGTTGTGGCCGGTGAGAGTGAAGGTAAGGTCTGGGAGAGAGTCGCGCTTGCTGCAGTCCACGGTGTACTGGCCGTTGTAGGACTTCTTGGCGCCGATCTCCTTATTCAAGAGCTCAGCAAGAGTGCTTGGGAGGGCGATGAGAGAAGTGCCGGTGTCAAGAATGGCACCAGTAGCATCGATCTCAGCAGTCTGGTCGCCAAAGGTGATGGCGTCAAGGTCGACCTCCCAGTAAGCCTTGCGGCGGAGTGGGATGTTGATCATCTTGCCAGTGTAGTGGTCCTCGTTGACACCACCGAAGATGGCTTCCGACTCATCACCCTTGTCGGTGCTGCTGAGGTAGAAGGCGAACTTCTTCTCATCAAGCAGACCTTGGTCAATCATGTTGTAGAATGGAGGCGGGATGCCATTGACAGAGATGGTGTCGTATCCAAGACCCATGATACCGTCAAAGCGTCCGAATGCGAACGCAAGACCTGGCTCAGAGGTGGCCTCAGCAAAAAGCTGGTTCTTGATCTTGAGGTCACCGATCTGTACGGTGTCCTGGCTGACGTAACCCTCAAGGCTACCTGAGCCGTATCTGATGGCAAAGTCGGAGCCATTCTGCTTGTATGTGGTGGATTCGCCGTGGTCGTACTTGGAGTGCAGGTAGCAGGCGATGCTGCCGCAGTCCTGAGATGGAACCCACAGGTTCGAGCTACCAGTGTCCAACACAACCTTGAACTCTTGTGGGGGTGTTCCAATCGCAATCTGACTGAAGTATTGGGCGTTGAGGAAGTTGTCGACGGCGACCGGGTGACCGTCCTCCGCGTGGACTGATGTCTCCTTGAACATCTCACTCAAGGGGTTCTGGGGGCGAACGCCCATGTACTTCTGGCCGAGGTGCCTGACATGGTCCTCGATGTTCAAGCCCTCCTATTGAATCGTCAGCATACTGGCACGCGACACATTGCTGATGAATGTAGCTTACGAGCTGTTCCGACAAGGATATCTTCTGGAGCCTGATGATTGCCGCCGGTCAGTGCTGCTCTCCCAGCCACCTCGCGACAGCTCAGCGACAGCTACTCACTTCATCTTGTGGACGCCTGCCTGGGCGCCGGCCGCCAGGGCCGATGTCAATAATGCACCCTTCATATTGAAATGGTTGTTTGTGATGGGTGCGATGAGAGGGTGCGAGGTGTTTGTAGAGAGGAGGACGGAGCTTGGGTTGTGCTCTCCCACTGCCCTAGGCAACGGCGAACGAACGAGTCGGCTGCTATGACGAAGGACCGGGCTCACGGGCCGTGGTGGGTTGGCTGTGGCTGGTGGCGTGTTTCGATGATCCTCTGTTTCTGATGATGAACTCTGTCACCGGCAGCCTTCCTGCAGTGAGAACATGTATATCTTCTAGCTACATGTATTGATTCTACACTGCACTCATCATGCTTGAAAATCTGCTGGGTCGACAATACTGCTACAATGTTCGCAGTGCTGGAAGCTCTCCGCGGAGCCTGTGCTTGGCTGGACGATAACGGCGATAGCATTCCAGTTCTGTTTTCGTGTTGAAAAGCTCATGCGACGATTTGTCTCGGTGCAGCGACACACATCCGGAGCACTGCTCGCTCGCATGGTGCTCCAGCCACATTATTATTGCCAAGCGTGCTTTAACCGAGTGCCATCCTAAGAGCCTGTCCTCTTCGTAATCCAATGTGCAATATCGTAGCGGTTATTAGCATATAACTCAATAGCCTAGCGGCCGCTACTATAAGTAAATAGGATTATAAGGTGTGTGTTCTCGTATAGTTATCCTATCGTCGCAATCTCGGTATTAGCGTTCTTAGCTAGTCTCGTAACCTTCGTAGACTTTAGATAGTAGCTTTAGGTAGTAGAAAGTAGAAGGAGGCGATTATAATAATAATATAGCAACGGCTACTCGCTATTCGATATAAGTGTAAGGAAATAGGTATATAGTAACATATAGAACACTCTCTACTAATCGCTATAGTAGAAAGTAGAACTAAACCGTGCCTTTCTTAGAACAGGGCAGAGTATTTACTATTAACTAGGCTACGTACGGATAGTATATATGCCGAGCTAGTAACTAAGTATATCCGTATAAGCGACCGAGCTTTTCCGCGTATACGCTAAGTAGGCTTTACGCTAGCGAGACAGCACCGTAGTGTACGTAATAACATTACATAATTGTTATATAGGCTTGCTAAGGCATAATAGGAGACTTTACTTACTTAGGTTCTTATAATTATCTCCTTCCCTCGGTATAGCTATCCTAGCTATAGAGCAATATAGTAAATTATACTATTTCTTATACTCTGCGCTATACTTACGCGTCTTATACGCACCTATCGCTAGGCTATAGTTGCTAGGCACGTTATAATTTGCCTCGTAGTTGCTTATTTGTTTATAGATTTAAAGCGCAGCTACTTCTAGTACTAACTAGAGGTTGCCTAAATTTCTAAGAACGCGGTAGCTACGCGAGAACGCAAGCTATCCGAAAGCGAGGCGAGTATTTAAAGCATTCGAAGCCCGCTTAAAAACTTCTTCTTTTTCTAAGCGCTCCGAATACCCCCTACCTATCCCCCGCCTACTTATATCTTACGCCCCCCTAGTATTACTTAAAGATTTTTCTTTTTTAAACATCTATCTAAAAAAACATTACTAGTATATCTACTCCTTCGCGTACCTTAGGCAAGCGCGCCGTAGGCGTTCTGCCCTCGATACCTACTACGCCTACCTAGCGCCCCCTAAAAGTCCTAAAGGGCTATATCTATTACTTTAAGCATATAACGGCTAACGGTACGTATTCTCGCTACTTGCTACGCGCTTGCGCTTCGTAACTAACTCGCTTTAGTAGACCTAACTAAGGTTTATATAGGTAGTAATATAGACCCTACTACTAAGCGTAACTACGATCGCTACCGCGGTAGCTATTATACCTGTACTCCGCTTACGGCCCGCTTACTAGTGTCGCTACTAGCGCGCATTCGCGCCGTACGCTCTACGCGCGACCTATACGACCTAGACGGATACGACTCTATCGAGAAGTCTAACGAGGCCTTAGAGGCACTCTAGGCCGAGCTAGACTCTATAGTCGTATATATATTCCTTATACGCTCTGCTTGCGCTTCGTATACTAACCTCGACGTTAGTTATCCTATCTACGCTATACGTCTTTTATACTAATAAGAATAAGGTAACCCCCGGCGGCAAAGCCCTAGCCCGTAAGGGGGCTGCTAGCGGGTCCCTTACGGACGTTAACCTACTCGGTGCCCTCGAGTATATCGGTACTAACCTAGCTAGTTTAGTAGAGATTAGTCGTTAGGTATAGTTTTTCTTATAGCCTCGTTTCGCTTATGCTTCGTATGCTAACCGTACTAGAACCTCGCTTAGCGCGTCGGCGCTAAGGCCGTCGCCGCTATCGATACTACTATAGGCATCGAAGAGGAGGAGGAGGCTAAGGATTCTAAGAATAAGTAGGGTAGGCGGTCCGCTATCGCTACGCCTACGCAGCGCCTTCTTTATATATACTAGGCTAATAGGCCTTTTTTAGTAGCGAAACGAGCACGTGTCTACTATTTTTTCTTAAGTTTTATTTTCTTTTGTTTTAATTACTGCCTACGCTTACGCTTCGCTTAAGCTTCGAACTCGTCTAACGCTACAGAATCTTTAATATAAACAGCTAGCTCCTAAGTATTGTATTCTTTAGGCTAACCTCGCTACTTGACAAGGTAGTACGCCTTCCGCTTCTTTATCTTCTTTGCTACGATTGTTTCTACCTACTACTCGTTACCTTTAGCGATAGGTATGCTTATCTTATGCTCCTCGCTATCGCGCCTATACTAAGGCTCGAGGAGGGAAATATAGAAAACATTATAGATCTTCGTACTTAACGGTAGTGCTAGGCGGTACGCCTGCGCTCTAACTGCGTTAATAATGCGGAAAGGCCCTATATACTTCGGGCTAAGTTTCTTCTTTAGGATATCTAAGCTAATATTCTTTATCGATAGTAAGACTAGGTCGCCTATACTATATATCTTAGTAGTATAGTATATATTGTATTACTTAGCCTAGTATTCTACTGCTTTCTACTAGCGTTCCGTAAGCGTTTTATACGCTTTCTATAGTCGCTCCGCAGCGTCGATAGCTACTAGTGCCCTTCCCTTAGTTAGCTCGTCCCAAGCTAGTAGCTTATTTACGCTCGGTATTAAATTAGGGTTAAAGCCGTAGAGCATCTTAAAGGGGCTTATACGCAACGTAGGATAAACGCTATTGTTATAGGCAAACTCCGCCTAAGGCAACAATTTAGCCTAATTATCCTAGTTCTCGGAGTAATAGTATCGTAGGTATTGCTCGAGGGTCTAGTTCGCGCGTTCGGTTTGCCCGTTAGTCTAAGGATAGAAGGCTATACTAAGCCTACGCTTTATATACGCTTCGAAGCAGAAGTCGCTCTAAAACTAGCTAGTAAAAAGCGATCTACAATCGCTAATAATGCCTAATAGCACTCTAAAACGCCTAATTACCTCCCTTTAAAGGATATCCGCGAGTTTTACTACTATATACTTCTTCGTCGTTAGGATAAAGAGGCTTATCTTCGTATAGCGGTCGACTATTACGAGGATCGTAGTATATACGTAGGTACCGAGCTTACTCGGCGGGAGATCGGTAATAAAGTCTATCGTTAATTCTTGCTATAGTTAGGTTAGTATAGGTAGCGTAGCGAGCTCGCTATATAGGCGATAGCGCTTCGCCTTCGACTATTAATAAATTCTATAAATGCGGATATAGGCCGTAATGTCCTCGGCTATCTTCGGCTAGAAGTACTTTCGGCGTATTAGGTCTATAGTCTTAGCTATACTAAAGTGTCTAGCTAAAGGGTCGTCGTAGTATATGCGTATTAGCTGCGTACGCAATACGTAGTCCTTAGGGATATATAGCGCATCGCTATAGTAAATAAGGTTACCTCGACGAGAATAGCTAGGCGGGAGGTTAGAACTACTTAACGAGGCTAAGCTACCCGACGGTAAGCTTATCTCGTATAAGCCTCCTCCTCTCGCTTACTCTAACTGTTATAGAGTGCGTACGAAACTAAGGATTATATTAGGCGTCTCGTAGTAGAGCCTGTTATTCCTAACGATAGTAGCCGCTACTCTTACGGGACTACTAATAAAACTCTTACGTTCCGCTAGCGCTATACTAGCGTCTCGCATCCCTATATATATAATAGAGATGCGTTTTATAATCGGCTCGATATCCTCGGGTAGATTCGACTATAAAGCTAGTTTCGACTATAATATAGGGAGAAGGTTGTTTACTGCCTACGACTCGCTCTCGTAGTCGCTACGTCGTAAAGGCGTATCGGCTAGGTTTCGCTTACTAGCCCGATATTCAATAGTAAAGTTAAAAGGTATAAGGAAGGTTGCCTATCTTACCTACCTTCCGACGAGCTACTTTATCTTTATAAAGCCTTTAAGATTAGCGTAGTCGATAACTACGCGGGTCGTATACTAAGCGCTATCGAGGTACGGGCGCTAATACTTAAAGGACTCGATAACCGCTAGGAGCTCCTAGTTATAGGTTTTATAATTTGTCTCGGCTAGGACTATTTTTCGTAACTAGAAAGCAATAGGGTACTAATTCCTATCTTCGCTCTATTGTAATATAATTCCTACTAAGGCGAACGTAGAGGTATTGGTTTCGATACGTAGGGGCTTCGTAGGATTATAGTATCGCAATATCGAGGCCGAGCTAAAGGCAGCCTTTAGCTAGCGGAACGCTTACTCCTCGCTTTCGCCCTACGGGACCTACCCTAGCTTTCGGCTATTTACGGCTCCTTTCGATAGGGCGGTTAGCGGTATAACGATTCGGGAGTAATTTAGAATAAACCTCCGATAGAAGTTATAGAATCTAAGGAAGGATTAAACCTCCTTTAGCGTTAATAGGCGAGGCTACTCGGTAATAGCGTTTACCCTACGCTAATCTATCGATACGCCTTCGGTACTAACGATAAACCCGAGGAATTCGACTTCTTTCTTCTAGAAGGAACATTTCTTTCTGTTCGTATATAAGGCGAACTTCCGGAGCCGCGTAAGGATAGCGCGTACGTCTCGTACGTAGTCCTCTCGCGTTTTGCTATAGATAAGAATATCGTTAAGGTAGACGATATAGCAAATATTAACAAGGCTAGCTAATGCCCTATTAATATATCCTTAGAACGTAGTAGGGGCATTAGTAAGCCTAAAAGGCATTACCTTATACTCGAAGTACCTATACCGCGTACGGAACGTAGTCTTCTACTCGTCGCCTCGCTTAATATAGATATAGTAATAT